TGATACATATGATGCAAGTTATACGGATACTCTATACATTTGCGTATGCGTACATAGTTAATATATATATATATATATATATATATATATATATATATATATCCGTATAAGCACAAACCGCATCCAAGCAGTTTTTATTTACGACACATCAAAGTTAGTTGAGTTTCTTATTATAAGTTTTAAATCTGTTTATTCAGTTCGATAGCAGCCATTAAATATAGCCTCCAAACCTACCCAACCATAACAGCTTCCGAGCAACAACTTCCGGTGTCAGCACTTTTCACTATCAAACGAACGTTGCCCTCATCCTACGGACCATCATTTCCGGTACACGGTATCTGGTATTTACATGAGAGAGATGTTCCCGACAAAGGATAACAACCTCGAAACATTTGATGCCATTTGGTCTTTTCAATTACCACAAGATTATTCATACAAAAGATGAGTGGGAGATATGCAATTGAGATGTTCAGAAAGTTTATCCGTAATTACTTGTTCCAAATTGATATGAAAACCTGACAGAATTAACACAAGTCAACTTTACAAATTTGCCTTCCACGCATACGTGAAATAGACATCCTCATTCTCTTATTCTACTTATTATAATTATATACATAATGTAGCCTCTCGTAATACACTTATCACTACTACCATATATATATATATATATATATATATATTTCTTCTTTTCAATCATTTTACACCAACCAAGGCAAAAAAGTCACTAACATGCAAGGGATTACTGAAATGAAAAGAAACCGAGAAAACGTTTTTGAGAAAAAAGGGCATCAAATGAACAGGGTTAAAGGAAAAGGAAAATGACGATTTTTAAAGATCCTAGTTGACAGGAAGAATGTTCCACAAGCGAGAAATGCGAAAGAAGAAACTATTAGAAAGGAACTTACGGTTGCACCTATCAATTCCATTTTTAAATTGATGAGACCTAGCAGTCAACCGAGTGTTACATTTTTCGACCACCGTAAAAAGCTTTCTCTAATGAAAACCGGATTCAAGAGATTCGGAAAATATTTATATATAT